AAAAAAAAATTGTATATATTTACAGTATACAATGTGATGTTTTCATATATATATACATTGTGAAATGATTACCATAATCAAGCTAATTAACATACCTATCACTTCACATCGTTGTTGTGATTTGTTAAAGATGTTAAATAATATTGGAAAGAACACTATGGTATGGGTGTGTCAGGTCAGATACAATGAGGAAGTGAAGCCAAAACACATGAAATGAAAGACATTTATTACTCACAGGCACCAGAGAGGTTAGGGTACTGAAGGGAAGCCAGTGGGAAGTCTGAAGACAGCAGGGCACTCAATCGTTGGGTGGGTTGGGGGAGAGGTAAGGGGAGACCTGTGGGACTATGCCTTTATTAAAATTCCCTTGGGAACCTACAGCTTTGGGGCCACACATGGCCTTTTGACCAAATCCAAATTTTACAGAACAAATTTTTTTTAATAAACGATTTTCAAATACGTAATACATTATCATTAACTATAAGCACCCACACTGTACAATAGATCCTCAGATCTTCATTTTTGTAATGTCATTTATCAGTTTCTAAAGTGCTGTGAGTTTTTTTAATGAAGAGATGTTTGCTGAGTTTCATGAAATGCTTTGTCTGAATCTGTTGAAATGATCATGTAGATTCTCTACTCACTTCTGTTAATAGTATGTATTATATTGATTGATTTTTGAATGTTAAATATCCTTGCATTCCTAAGATAAAGCTCACTTGGTCACATATTGCTGGATGTGATTTGCCAGTATTTTGTTGAGGAAAAATTTTGATTTCTTGGCTTATTAGGCATTTGGGTTTGGTGGTTTTCCTTTTTTATAATTGCTCTTGTAAATTTTTTGTGTCAGGGTTATGGTGGCCTTATAAAATGATTTGGTCATTTTCCATTCATCATCTGTTTTCAAAAAGGATTTATGTATGATTTTGTTGTTTTTTTGAATGTTTGATAGAATTTATTACTTAATCTGATTCTTGAGTTCTTATTTGTGGGAAGGTTCTTAAAAACATAATTTGTTTATTAAACATAAGGAAATTCAGATTTTTCTTTTTGTGTCAGTTTTGGTAGTTTGTACCTTTGAAGGAAATGGTATAAGTCATCTAAATCATTGAATTTATTGACATAAAGTTGTTTGTAATATTTCTTTATTAGTCTTTTCATGTCTGCAGAATTTGTAGTGATAGCCTCTTTTTCATTTCTGATTTAGGTAATTTATGTATTCTTTCTTTTTTCTTAGTCTGTCTTAGTCAATCTTTTTAAAGAACCACATTTGGCTGTGCTATTTTACCTTATTCTTTGGTTTTCTATTTAATTGATTTCTACTCTTATGTTTGTTTCTTTTTTCTGCTTGCTTTGGACTTAATTTCCTCCTTTTTAGAATTTTTAGCAGAAGATTAGATAACTGATTTTAAATCTTTCTTCTTTGTTCATGTAAACATTTAAATTCTCTTAATCATTGCTTTAGCTACATCCCACCAATTTTAAGTTGTGTTTTTGTTTCGTTAAGTTCAAAATATTTGTAAATTACTCTTGTGATTTCTTCTTTGACACATGGATTATTTAGGAATGTGTTGCTTAATTTCTAAATAATTGAGGAAGTTTTAGATGTATTATGATTATGATTGTAATTATTTTGGTTTCTACTCTATTTGTACTGTGTGATTTTAGGTTTAAAAATTTTATTGATATTTGTTTTATGTTCCAGCATATGGTCTGTTTTTTGGTGAATATATGCACAAGAAAAACCTGCATTCTTCAGTTGTTAGATGTAGCATTATTACACAAATTATTAAGTCAAGGTTATCAATTAGGTCAAATTATCAATTAGGTTGATAGTGTTGTTCAAATTTACTATATTATGACTGATTTTATGTGTACTTTTTTTCTCAACAAGAAAATTGTATTCAAAATCTCCAGCTATGATTATGGATTTCTCTATTTTTACATTTTGTTCATTCAGTTTTTGTTTCATATATTTTAAAACTCTTTAATTAGGTGAATATGTATTTAGTATTGTTATGTTTTCTTCATGAACTGGCCCTTTTATTATTATTAATTGTCTTTCTTTATCTCTGGTAATATTCCTTGTCTTGAAACCTACTATGTATGATGCTAGTGTTTTATATGGTATGGGTCTTGGTTTTTTAATCCTATCTGACAATCTGTTGTTTAATTGAAGAGTTTATTCCATTTCCATTTAGTGTAATTATGGATTTGTTTGCTTTGAAGTTACTGATCTAGGTATTTGTTTTCTGTTAGTCCTATCAGTTCTTTGATCTTTTTT